GAATCTATTAACATTTAAAAACGGAAACCTAAAAAAAACTGTCACAGGTTTTAAAAAATGATGCCTTCTGATGATGGAAGACTACAAATAAAATGTTCTGGTTTTTTTTTTAAGGTTTACAAATTTCCTCCGGGAGGCGTTTGTCTTTGTCTGATGTTCATTTTGCTCCAAACCCTCAATGAATGTTAAACTGTTTTTTGTCTGATGATGAAGGAGAGACGCCGAGGCTCAGACATGGCTAAAAGTTTCTTGATGAAGGAAGATGAACCGTGACGAACCTCAGACTCAGACACATGAACTCGACTCTTTTCTTCCTGCCAACATTTGATATCCTGAGAGTCAGTTTAATCAGTGATGGAATCATAGCTTAATTGCAATTAAAGGGATAATTGAATGGAATTAAAAGTGGAATTAGGCAGAGGTTCTGTCTCAGCGACTGGTTACCGTCAAATGTGTTGGAGGGTTGATCGTCTAGTTGGAGTTAAACCATGTCTGGATGGTTGGTTAGTTGGTTAGGTGATGTCCATGGGGGGGGGGGGGGGGGGGGGGGGGGGGGGGGGGGGGGGGGGGGGGGTGAGTGGTTTGTATGTTTGATGAAAAGGAAGGAGAAGGATAAGAGTAAAGGAGAGGAAGAAAAGAAAAATAAAAAGAAGGAAAAAGGGGAGAATGAAGGAAGAATAAGTTAAAAAGAAAGAAAGGATGACAAGAAAAAAAACAGAAGAGAAAACGTTAAAGAGCAAAGTGAGAAAGGATGAGAAGAACTAAAAAAGAAGAAAATGGAAGAGAAAAGAAGTTTAACAGAAATAGAAGAAAACATAATTTAATAAAAAAATAAAAATAAAAAAGGGCAAAGAAGAAGAAGAAGAAGGACAGGAAGAAAAAATAGAAATAGAAGAAGAAGGAAAAGAAAAGAACTAGACGAGAAGAAAAAAAAAACAAGCAAAAATAGAATAAGGAAAAGAACAAAATGATGAAAGTCAAAGTACTGTTTCCAGGGGAACTCTATACATAAGATACTGTCAAAGTTTATTTCCCTGTAGCCTGTATAATAATGCGGTGTTCCAATATTTTTTTTAAATCACTGGATTTATGTACAAGTTTAAACGTCTCTTTTGGACAAACAGAAGCTGAAATAAAACGAAGTGACTGAAGTTTAGTGAGTAAAATAAAAAAGTAAGACAATAAAACAGAGCGGCTGCTGTTAAAACTGAAGCTGAAGTTTCTTGGTTCCTCGTCTGGCTTAACAACGCATTAGATTTGTTTCAATGACTCTCTAATAAGGTTTTTAACCACGCACTGGAAACCACACACTCACCAACAAAAGGAGAGGAAAAAGGTGAGGAGACAAGTGACCGAAACGAGAAAAAAAAAAAAGCCTGAAAAAAAACAAAACCGATGGCTGCCAACCACCGTTCTGACATCCAAGGGGATTTACACGTTCACAGAAATAAGAGAGGTGCTGGAAGCTTTTCCAAAATTCAATAAATAAATCATTGGTCCTTTGGCTTTCATACTAACCACCAGGGTTGACTGGGTAGTGTAGTGGTCCACAAAAGTAAATGTTATCACCTGAAAACAGAAGCTTCAGGGAATGAAAGGACAGGTAGATAATTTATATAGATATACAGCTCTTAAGAGACCACTTCAATTTATTCTGAAATCAGCATCTATACATATATCCATACACATGTATATACATATATATATATATATACATATATATACACATATATACATACATATACATATATACACAGTATATACATACACATACTGTACATATATACACAGTATATACATACACATACATATATACATATATAGAGAGAGTATATACATATATACACATATACGTACATACATATATAGAGAGCATATATACATATACACATATATATAAAGAGAAAAAAAGCCTGTACATGAAAGGACAGGTAGATAATTTATATAGATACACATATATACAGTATATACTGTACATACATACATACATGCTGACAGGTTACTAGGCCAAAGCCTGAAGTAATCAATCACACTTTCTCAAATATCTTTGGATCAAACCCAGAGGGACCAATCAGCAGAGTGAGATAATAGTTGCTCCAATTAAAGCGTGTTGTTCGGACAAACTCAAGGTTAATGGATTTCCAACAATTCCAATGACTGCATTGATCCCGTATTTAACACAGATGTTGTTCTGGGCCAACATCGATCTCCCATTTGTAGAAGTGGACTATAACCAAACACAGAGGCCACCAATTATGTTCTACCACAGCTGCCACTGCTGCATTGATCACAGTTCACTTGTCGTCAGACAAAAGCAAAACACAACAACCATGAGAGGAGGATAAATGACGTTAGTCTGACTCCACATCTAAAAGGCCAACTGGATCTGACTTTTTCAACCTTCTTTAAAACCATAAACAAAGTCTCACTTCTTAAAGGGAAAAACTGAATTGGTGTATGATCATATAAGTCAACAAAAGTACAGCAGGTATAGCTAAAAGTTTAAGGAAAAAAGGGCAAAAAAAGGTAGTTTTTGAATAGCAACTTATTAAAACAAAGCTAAAGTTTAGCCAGGAAATATAAACAAAAGTGAACCAACCCAAAAAGGTTGTTTGAAAGCTAAAGAATTCCCCTGCTGTCAAGACATAAAAAAGTTAATTTAAAAAAGTAGTTTTAAGACACATTAAACTTATCCAAGTGCAACCATTAACCGCAGGAACTCTGAAAATGTCTCCTGAAGCCAAAATAAAGGCTTTTATGCCAACCCCATGAATGCATTTAGACCCCCAGAGATATGTATGCACGAAACAGAATATGTTTGATAAAAACAAACAACTAGGAACGTGTTTTGACAAACTGTGGAGTAAAATACTGAGTAAATATAAAAAACTGAGTAAATATCTACTGTTTCAACAAAGTTTAAGAGCAGCAACTAACAGTGACAGAACTAACATACTGTATTAAGAATTATAGTCCGAATTGTTCTTGTGTGAAGTTTTGAATGAGTTATTATTATTTGCAATTCAATTTAACATTGCTATACAATATTAAAATGTAACTAGAATAAAAAAAAATAGTGGGCAAAACTAGAGAAATAGCCAAAAATAATGTAAGCTATTAGTAGTTAAGATTGGATCCAACTTGAAAATTAAAATGTTAATTTAAAAAAAAGCAGTTATACAACACATTAAAACAATTAGCCGCATAGAGAAATAGCCAAAAATAATGTAAGCCATTAGTAGTTAAGATTGGACCCAACTTCACAAAGAAAGATATTAAAGTTAACTAGATCAAAAAAAACTTTTTCAATTAAGCAACTTGTTCAGCAAAAATAATTAGCCAAAATGTGATAAATTCACAATGAAAATTAAAATGTTAATTTTAAAAAAAGCAGTTATACAACACATTAAAACAATTAGCCGCAGGATCTTATCAAACTTCTTTAGACAAAGTTTTCATGACAACCTCATGAATGCACTGAACCACCTGAAGATATGTGAGAAAGGAACACATTTTCTAAAAACAAAGTATTAGGAGTGCGTTCTGTCTGACTGTAAAAAAGACTCAGTGAATATCTGTCACCAATCAGTCAAATTTAAAAGCCTGCTGCAACTGTGATGGGATCATTTTCACTCTTTTTCCATCTAAACTGACAGATAAATAATCCTTCTCTCTCTCTGTTATGTCTTAGGGAGAACAATTCAAGTCAGTCAACGCCACACACTCTCAGAGGGTGAACTCCATTAGGATCATTTCAAACCTCCCACTCCTTTCGGCTGCTAAAGAATCCATCTGTGTGTTGTGCAATAGTTGTGGAGGAACTGAGCTCCACGCCAAATGTCTCACAGGCACTTTCATTAACGGAGGTCACTCTGCATATTTTATCAAAATGTATAAAACGAACAGACTTTTTTTTGGTCTATTTGTTTTGGTCTAAATGTCTAATACATACATAAAAAGATGTTCTTTGAATAAAATAGAATAAAAATAAATCTCTTCCAAAAATACACACTGTGCTCCATTGCTTTAATCGTCAGATTCAAAAATTTCCAATGGTACCTGAACGCCCCTTGTTGCAGACATTTGTTAGTCCAATACTGTTTATATATTTATAAATATATTTGAGTCTGGAATGTCAGCATGTGTAGTACACAGGTAATCAAACCAGTATATAAGTGATAGACAAAAAACACAAATGAAAAACTTTAGAGGCTTTTTTGTTATTAGTTGTATGTTTTGCAGAAAAAAACAAAAAGAAAACATTAAAAACAAAGGTCTACATCTTTCCTAGAATTTGTAAGTCTTGAATACAGAAGCACAGCAGAAAAATATACTTGGGAGGAGTTTTACTGAAGTATTTTCTCTAATATTTAAAAGAGGATGTGTTTGATAAAAGACTGGAAATCCTAAGCCCAGATCACGTCTTAAAGATGAAGCTCAATTTCAGCATAATACTGTATATCGAGCATTTTAATAAAGTACTTTAGGTCCGTGAAGGTCTGTCCGGGGATTTAATACGAGAAGAACTTAATCCCTGTAAAGTTTGAGGGTGAAGTGAAGCCCATCCTCCCCGACTGACATAATTAAAACAGCAGCTTTCGGCTTCACAGACATCATACGGTGCTGGATTTTTAAACCTCCAGTAGCAGAACTGCTGTAAGTTTGAGCCAATAAAGTGGACTCGCAAGAGTGTGCATCTGAAAGAACGTCTGTGTTCACTGAGGCTTCACAGGCGAGACAGAAACAGAGGCGGGGACAGAACATGAGGGTGGTCAAACTCTTACTTCATCAGAGTAAAGACAGACTGAATGTGACAAAAAACAAGAGTTTATGTTTTCACAAACAACGATATACGATTTTTTTTTTTACAGAAAGCTGCTTTTTTTTTTTTTTTTTAAATACACCGCTCCGCTCTGGATGCAAAAGTGAAAGCGTGCACATATTTTGTTAACGTATAAATAAAACTATTTTGACCTCAAATATGAAAAACATATTCCTACCTGTCTGCCACCAGTGATCCAGGACTGGAACTCCAAAGCTTTTCTTTGCCCATTCTAATGTCTCTACGTCGCATCGCTCTCCAGCCAAAAACATTGACCGCAACCTGGAACACAACACAAGAGACAGAAATATTGAACAAACATCACAGAGAGACTCGTATATATGTATATGTATGTGTGTGTGTTCAAACTTTCTATTTTCATTGCTTCGAGAGAAATTATTTTTCTTCTGGTTTAATTTTTTTTCAGCCCAGCTCTTACCTGTAGTAGTAGTGTTTTGCCAATTTCAATTCCTGCCTCATTCCTCCAGCTCATTCTGGGCTCACTTGTAGGATTTAGCTCAGGTCTTACAGTAGTAACTGGGCCTGCTGTGGGCCTCTATGGCCTCACCACCTGTTCTGCCCTCTATTTGGCCTCCAGGTCAATATTGATGAGACTATGAATCACTGAATAACCAAGGCAGTAACAGTAACTCCTGTGAAGGACACTTAAACCCCGTATCTTACCTCCCCTGCTGTCCTCCTGTTTCCCAGTTCCCTCCTTTTCTTGACCGACAGGTGACCCAGAACACCTCAGGCTTTATCTTCAGACTCTCTACACACACTCCCTCTCTTTCTAGCTGCTCATTCCTAATTCTAACCACTCTTCTGGTGACTCACTCCAAGGCTGTGAGGAGAGATTTATTTCCCCTATAAGTCCAGACCACAGTGAAGCTACAGATACCGGTCTGATCTGTGTATTTTCAACAGTCATGACCCTCCTGTGGTGAAATGTCCTTCTACCTTCAACTGAGTCACACCTTCTGTTCCTGCTCCCACGTAGACACTTACCGTTTTTCAAACATTTTCCACGCAGGTCGGCAAAAACAAGACATTTTTATGTAAATATACCAAAATTTCAACATTCAACATCAGCCCACGGACTTCACTCAACGTTGACCCTTAGTGCAGTTTCAAACACCCTCTTCCAAAATGGGGACATATACTGCATCATTTCCTGATAATTTGCTTGGAAATCTGGTTGAACTTTGTCTGATGCTACGTTTGATGCTAAATTTCCACTTCAATGTTGTTTTAACTGCACTTTTTTCCCCGCCATAGCTGTGAATCAAACAACTTTCAGCTACTTTCCTTTTACTTTTAAATTAGTCTTTACATTAGTTGCCCTTTCTGGAACACGTACTAAGCCATTTAGGTTGTGTGTTGCTTGTTAGCATGTGTAGCTCAGCTTTGCTAAGATGACTAGCTAAGACAGGCTACTTTAACAAAAGCTGAAAAGTATTTGAGAAATCTTTGCTTACCTTTTTTTCTGTGTGGAATTAAAAAAAAAAATGTTACAGAATATAAATATAGATACACATGCTTGTTGACTAACCTAAGTTTACCTTTCTTGGCTGACTAGGAGTTATTAGCCTTTTGGCTAACTTGCCGTGCTAACTTGTCTGAGCTACGGAGGTCCAGCTGGACACAATTTGAGTTTTGCTTTTATGCATCTTTGTCTTATTAAATTACATTCAATTGGGTTTTAGTAATCTTTTGGTACTTTGAATGAATATTTGAACAATATTACAAATACATTTCAGTCACTCAGTACATGTACTTGTTTGTGTTTCACTTACATATTGCATTGTCTGCTGATGTTTGACCAAGCTCAGCATCTGGCAAAGCTTACCCTGTACAGCTAACTACGGGCTATTTCCCTTTAAACTACCTTGCTATGTGGAGTCGTCTGAGCCACGGTTGCCCAGCTGGACAATTTTCAACCAGGTTTTAATTTCATGCAGTTTCATGTAGATCAGCAAACTGTAGGAAAATAACCTCGGCATTAACTTTCGGCACCAAGAGCCACCACATATTGATCACTGGGCTGTCAGTGATATAAATCCCAGTCTGACTGTATAATGTGTTTTGCTGATAATTGCACGGAGCAGAAGTGCAGCTCCGTTATGCAGATTCCACCCATTACTCTTGTGTTAGTTCCAATTAACAGCAGACAAAGGGCAACTACCGTTCATGAAACGGGAACCAGCTCAGAGTGTGCAACAGTGAAAAGTACAATCCCCTGTGCACGGTGTCATTTCGACGTCCACATTCTTCTGCTCTGCTTCAAAAACACCACTGACAGAATCTCTGCCCTTCTGTCAGCCCACATTTATGCACAGCGACGCCTCCGCCATCACAGCTTTTGTCGACAGCCCTGTAGCCAAAACTGTCAGTGCAGTTTTTTTCCACAAACTTCCACGCTGCACTGACTACTCCATCACACACAGACACACACACAGACACACAGATCGTTGATAGGAGTCTGAGGCTATTAAAGTGTAGTCAACCTTAGAGGAAGTAAATGTCTCTGAGCATCAGTAAAAGTCCAGACAGGACGTTGGAGCAGTGAAGGTCTCTCCAGCATGTAATAATGTGTTTGATGATAAAAGGGTTTTAATAGAAGATTTTACTACTCAGTTAGCCGCGCAGCTAACTTTTAGAGCAAAGATGTATGTGCATCTGTGTTTTGACCGAGGCGTCGTGCGTGTAAACAAGAGCAGTCATTCAGCTGTGTTTGTCAACCTGTACAGCACAGCTTTTCACTCACACGGTTGTTAGGCCTAGAGTTAGCTCAGAAATAGCTTTAAGAGCCCACAAACTTAGCACAACGTTTGCTGACGGATCATTCAGAGTTTAAATCAAGTTTAAAAAGGCAAAAGATAACCAAAGGTTTGCCAAGAACATTGCTAAAGGTTAGCACTGTGAATATAAAGTGACCCAGAAACAGCTTAAAGTTAACCCAAAGTGACCTTAACATTAAAAAATGTGTATTCATGTTAAAGTTAAGATTAAATTAGCTTAAGATGAAAACTGCTAAAAGTTAGGCCTGAACATAGCTTAAAAATAACGCAAGCAAAGGAAAAAAAATACCCAAAAACAGCGAGAACTAAGTTTAAGAAATAGCCAGAAGCCAGCCACTATTGTAGCTAAAAGTTAGCTCGAAGATATCTGAACTTCAACGTAGAAATGTTGTCTGTGACATTGTTTCCTGTTAAAAATCTTGCCTCAACACTTGTTTTTTCATCGTACGACACAGAAAATAAGTAACTCAACTTGACTAACAAAAAAAAAATCTTATTGCAAGAGTGAAATTAAATGAACACATTTCAACTTCAAGTCAGAATGAACTGCCAAGATGTTGAAAAACTCCTTGTCCTTTAAAATGAAATTCATGTCTCACTGCTGCTTTTGTCATCCTGTCACTTGTACCACATTTTGCTCAGCGCCAAAGGACAAGAAAAAAAGCCATCTCTGACGGAGCTGCCTTTCCTGATGTGAAAGGATTTGTTTCAATGAGGGCAAAACTATAAGCAACAAAGAACAATAGCAGAAAACAATATTTTTGTGCCACAAACCGTTAACTAAGCACAACAGTCAAATTAAGGACACAATTCCAGAGAGTTTATGCAGATTTATGCAGGATCACTGCATGACTGTGAATTTTGAGACATTTTTTTAGCAGCTGAGCAGAAAAAAAACGAGAATTGACACTGCAGGACCTCAGGTTTGAGTTCTAAAGCAGGAAAAAACAATCTGCAGATATGAGCAACATGATTTTTTGTTTTTGGAGTCCCAGAGGACCTTCATCCGAGCACTGAGACCAGACCAAGGTCAAATTCGTGCAACTTTGTTACAGTTTGACACCTAGGCGACCTGTTTGTTTATTATCCATCTTGATTAGCAGCAGAGCAGCTGGAGATTCTACTGCTACAGACTTTGGAGGATGGAGGTGGGAGCTTTAACAGATGGCTGGAGGACTGCTGGACTGCCAACCATCAGGAATCAAGAGCTACTTTAACACTTCACTACAACGAATCCCAGCTAAAAATCAGGAGTGAGAAGCTAAATGTTACAGACTGACATTCTGCTGTCCTGGATTTTAAAGGGTTTTAGACCAGTAGACAACAAAAAGTTACCAGAGGAGACAGCACAGTTAGGTAAAAGTGGAATAGCTTAAAAATATACCCTAACCTTGTAAGCCATTAGACCCAGTGTATCTAATAGTTAGCTAAACATAAAGCAAACAGAGGCTAGCCAAAAAACCTACATGTAAATGTTGTCCAGGAACAAAGAAAAAAAAGTTGCTTATAGTCAAAAAATGGATAATAATGCTAAAAGACTAAGTGGAATAATTTTAGCTTTGAAAATTTTAAAAAATACTCTTCATTCCATTGAAGGAACTCAGCCTGACGTCAACCAAATACAGCTAAATGTATCATATAACAAGCCATAAATTTGCTTCAATAGCAGAAAAAAAGATAACCTGAAGATAAGATAGTGTTGCTATGGATAGATAAACAACAATACCCGTATCTGACAGGACAAAAGTGAATACAAATTGAATCCAGAACAGGAAAATAAGACACATTTTCTATCTATGTTCAGTGTCATTATACCTCTTTTTTAAAGATGTATTGTACAAGGTGTTTTTAGTTGTTATTGTCAAGTTACCACAAATACAAAAAGTGTTTAGTGGTGTAAAAAAAACCTGCTGTTCACTGTGTTTTCTACCTGGTAAGCGGATATTTCTTGCCAATTTCAGCTTGTGGGTCTTGCTGTCTAATGGCCCTGAGAGCAGTGGGCGCCGTGAACATGGAGGAGGCTCCGTGATCCGACAGCACACGGAAGAACGATCCGGGGTCTGGAGTCCCAACAGGCTTCCCCTGGAAACAGAGCGCAGCTCATTATTCCTGTTCGCAGGTGGAAGCAGGAAAATAAATCACAAGTTAGGCTTCGTGTAGAACAGAGAGCAGATACGCAAACAATACCGTACAGTGATTTACAGCTACGCTGCAGCACAAAGACAAAGCAAACTGCACTCTGATCATACTTTTTAGTAAAGAGTGCAACATATTTGTAGCAATAAAAGACAGCAATAACAGATACTGCAACTGTATTCATGGAGCTATCATGGCTAGCTAATATAGTTATGTTTTATTTGGCAGATTTTAGCAAATGATGCTATATGCTACGTTTAGCAAATAATGCATATATTTGGCTCAATTTCTGTTTAATTCTTAGTTGATGATGTTAATGGCACATGTCAGGTAACTGGTGTATACTTCTTTATGTCTTTTAGAGATTTAGAGTTACTTGCAGTGAGATACCTCATAGAGAATGGTGGTGTTACCATGCAGAAGAGGAGCGTAACAGATATACGAATGTCCAACCACCCAGCCCAGGTCTGATGCTGCCCACCAAACCTGTAAATGATAGAAAGGGTTCTATTAGTTTTTACTCTTCTACTTCTAAGTACTTTAATAATTGCTAAGTAAAGATCTGAGTCTTACTTCTCCGGGACTGAGTCCATAAATATTTGACATGGTCCACTTAAGCATCACAGCATGGCCGGCAGTGCCTCGCGCTATACCCTGACGGAGAAGAGTCGCAAAACATGCCACAAGTATATTTGACACAAATGGCCTGTGGGATCATCAGTCAAAGAAAACAACGACATCATGTTATTAGACTGTAAATATATGTGCAAACAAAACATCTGTGAGTAAATAAGATTATCCAAAAAGTATTCAAATATGTTTGTATACAACACCCGCTCCCCGGCAGTTTGTTTTCAAGCACATTTTCCGAGAACCTTTCGGTTTATGTGTCGGAATAAACAGTGATAGAGATTTCTCCTGAATTTCTTTTTTTTTTTGTGAAAAAAAAATGACAAAGGGCCTGAGAACTTGCCCGCAGGTGGGGAGTTTTTATACTGTCTGTTGACTAAAGAGAAAAACTGTGACTATTTAAGGAGCAGCTACAGTTTTTTTTTCCCACCATCTGATGGTGCCTCCAGGCGATTCTTCTACTGCAAGCTGCTGCTATGGAAAACTTCATCTTCTCTTTGTCATGTGGACACTGTTTAGCTTGAGCCTGGAATGTTTTTGCACAGAGGAGCAGATAAATCACAGAGAACTCTAGCCTGTCAGACGTCGCTTGAGGTTTGGTATCTGCTGTCTTCTACTGTAAAGATGAAGCAATGGATTCATTTTCTCAGATGTTCCTTATCAACAGCAAGAGTCAAAGGACACCAGTGCATTTCTAGGGTTTAAGTCGTTTATCCTTAGGCCATGGTCAGAGGGCCTGCAAAACATTCTGAAGCAACGACAAAATAATGTTATACTAAACCTTTGGGGGGCGCCAGAGCATTTTATGGAGGGGCACACAATTGGTTAAAAGAATGGGGGGGCAACAGATTTGTTCTAAAGTCTAGTTTGAATTTTTTATAAAATAAAATTTGAATTAAAATTATTTTCCTAAAAATCCATGTATCACGGGGAAAATTGACAAATGTACACACTGTACATTTAATGTTATACTGAATTATACTAACAGTCTACTGTTACACCAATTTTTTTGTAAACCAAATTAGCTCACACACTTATCAGCATTTTTGCAACAATGGGGGAAAAAAAACTCCCATTCATGAGGACTCATGGAGTTCTCCAGCAGATCGAGGATCAGTGTTCGTGTCTGCCTCGGCAGAAGAATGACTCACAAAAGTGAAGGGATTGACTTTAGATGGTGCTAGACTTGAATCTAAGTACAGATTCTGTTCATTTTTAATCCAGAAGTCATCAGTATGGATGCAGCCAGCAACAGCAGCTCGTACCTTTGGTGTTCCAGTGGTACCAGAGGTGTAGAGGACGTAGAGTGGATGGTTGGAGGACAGAGGAACGCAGTCATGTGGTCGAGCTGTGGCCATTTCTTCATCCCAGTCGAGACTCAGCTCTGACTTTAGAGACACTTTTTCCTAAAATGTAAAAAGAAAAAAATAAGGGAGGCAAAATCAGTAGTCGAGGTCCACTGATCCTCCTGTCATAAATACATTATCTGCATTTAAATTAGTTAATTAGTTGGTGAATAACCCTTATAATTTGTAAGAAACTATAAGATCAAAATAAGCAAGAAAAAAACAAGCTAGCTCGACAAATTAGCCGTAAAGTAACCAAACGTTTGAAAAATATTACAATTTCAAGCTCAACCTAAACTAAACGTTTGAAAAATATTACAATTTCAAGTTCAACCTAAACTTAAGTACTAGCTTAAGTTTAGCTGTCAACTTAAGTACTAGCTTAAGTTTAGCTAAAACAATAATAATTATTATTATTATTTTCCATACACCTTGTGCGTCTCTGGCTGATGTTTTTCTCACCATGTTTGGCCTGTTGTAGACGAGAACCTTGGAGGGCTTGTGAGAGCTGAGCTCCAGAGCTTTCTCCACCAGAGGGATGTACTGCACCCTTCTGCCAGGCTCAATGCCAAAGGAGGAAGTTACCATCAGTTTTGGCTGTGAGAGAAACAGCAAAGATTATATATAGATAACAAATGTCAACAACGAACTGGAAAAGCAATCAGTACAAACCAAATTCACCGTTTACTTCTTTAACATTTACATGTTTGTTTTTTATATTAATAAGAATTAAAGGTGAAAGAATCACTGTTTGAAAATGTTCAAACATAACAAAGAAAATTAGGAAATAAGATGTAAGTAATAAAAAAAATATCAAAAAGGTTTGTTAGCGAAAATGTAGCAGAAAAAAAAAATCAAGCAACTTAGCACGAAGATTTCTATCATTTTTAAAAATTATTTTTCTGCTAAAACCAAAGGAAACAATTATTTCTGTTAAATATGTATTATTGTTGTTAGCTCGTTTTTGGTACATCATTTATGCACTAAATGCTATTTTTCTGGGCAATGGTTTATGTGAAAGTAATTTTATTTATTCATAAATAATGTGGGTATATTTTATTTTATTATTTCCCATGGTGCACCCCATATCAGTTAACTAGGTACAGATAACCAAATAACTGACCAATAGGTTAAGGTATGCCTTTTACAGAAAGATTTCAAGGGAATATTTTTTCCAAATAATTAACCTGCAGAGAGAATACTCTGAAAAGTACTCCACCGTTAATGTATTTGTACACACATAAAAACTCTGCTAGAATAATTAAGGTGAGAAAATTGTCCCTTATCAAGATGTTGCTCTATTTACCCTCCTGTTACCCCAGCTCCATAAACAGACTGCCTGCATATGGCACAGGCACAGTTCTCTAGACTGTGATCGCACTGAGAGAAAGAGTTGAAGCCAAGTGCTTTTTACACAGTGACTGATTCATTCTGAACAAATATTACCCACAGCAGTATAAGCCAAAGGCTCAGTACAGGAGGAGCCATCATACGGGTGTTTTTTTGTTTTTAATTTTTTACCTTAGCGTGGTCGATTCGGACGGAGAGCTCCTTGGAAGCGAAGCCTCCAAAGATAAGGCTGTGCGGAGCGCCGATCCGTGCACAGGCCAACATGGTGAACATGGCCTGGGGAACCATGGGCATGTAGATGACCACCACATCTCCTTTCTGTACCCCATTCTTCACCAGGACTCCTGCCAACTTGGACACCTGCAGTAAGACCCAGAGCAGAGAACGTCAGTGTCATTTTGCGTTAGTGTGTTCAATTTCCAACTTCAAAAGTATCTTTGTACTCCGGGGCAACCAGCTTCTATGAGCCGTACAACCCTGCTGTTCACTTAGAGCACATTTCAATTATAGCACAGGCCACGGAGACCTGAGCGAACTGCATCGTCTGCCCAAATGTCAATGAAGTTAATTATTTCCCTCATCGCTCTCTCTCTCTCTTGTTTCTTAGCTCCCATACTAATGCTGTCAGCGTCCAGCTGTCGCTGCAGAAACAACTGTCTCAGCTGGAGGAGGGAGCTGGGAACGGATCGTCATGGAAACACTGACACTTTCTAATTTATGGGCTCAGAATACAGCCCAGGGATGTGTCACGCTCCAAAATTCATATTCACCACATGGTCCTGACCAACTAACTGCACGTGTGGCTGATTAAGCTGTAAAGTTTGGTAAATTATGTGAAAACCCGACAGTAACGGCATCACCTGCTCCTGAAGTTCCCTGTAGGTGATGATCTGTTTGGTTCCCGTCACTGGACTGTCGTAGATGATGGCGGGCTGGTCTCCACGGCCGCTCTCTACGTGACGGTCCACAGCATTGTAGCACATGTTCAACTGTCCACCGACAAACCTGAAACACACAAAAAAAATTACCTTCCATCAATAATTGATCCTAATCAATAACCTGTATTGACGCAACGGTACATCAGCAGGTGAAGGATATTTTT